AAATGTATGAGCATTTTGGTATTTGAAAATGGTATATTCATACTTATTCTGTATTTGGAATCAATTGAGTTTACAAATGGCAAACCTTGTGATGCCATAGACTTTTATATTAAAATGTTTTAGTTGAGTATTTTTCTTTAAAATAAAATCTCTAAAGAAAATAAAGCTTTAACCCAATACTACTACTTTGAAGTTCAGTTAGGACCTGTGAAAAAACTTTGGCTATTTCGTCATAGGATAATAAATTAGTACATTCTAAAAATTAAAGATGTTGAAGAGCATTAGTGTTATATCCTCTGCAAAACTTATTAGACAATTTTCAAGTATTTTGGATTTATCCAAACTAAAATCACATTTTCCAAGTCCCATTCTTAATATTTATTTTATGTATGTTTGTGATAATTTAATGTTTCAATTCCTCATGCATTTATACCATCAGTCATCAAAATACTTTATAAGCACTATTTTATTAATATCTCCAAAAACCTTGTAAGCCTCTTATGCCACTTTTTCTTTGAAAGTAATGAATAATTTGTTTAAAATGTAGTGAATTTTAACGTATAGAAAGTTTAGATTCATCTCTGAGTTCTTTTATCCCTAATCTCTAAAGCTATGTAGAAATTTAGTTGTTATCCATTATTTCAAAGGGGACACTTAACCAGTGGAGCAAGGATGAAAACCCAGGTCAGTGTGACTTCAAAGCTAGTGTCTCCTCCCCATTGTGCTTTGCTGTCCCTCGTGTTATTTATCTTGTTTTCTTTTTCTTTTTATTTTTTTCTTAATTTCCCCTTCCGTTCCAAGGACTGTGAGAAGAAAATAATAGATACAACAATAGAATTGAAATATTACTTTTATTTCATTCCTTTTACTGTTGGGTAAAGTGTATTTTCTAAATACTATTATATCTGAAATATTAGCTTTGATGTAGAGGAATTCTAAAGTGGATCATTTTATGAAGTGAATGAAGCTCCTAATTTATATGTATTTCCTATACTGTGTTGTCTTGAAATTATAGCTCTTTAGGAATACCAGATGAAGAAGATTAATTGCCAACCTTTCTTCTAAAATGCAAAAGATACAAGTATTAATTTCTAAAGTAGTAATAGCTAAGAATTAATAGGCTGTATAGTTCAGCATTCTTTAGTAATTTAGATAATCTGCTATTATCAGAACTCAGAGCTGGTTTTCATTTGGATATAATATACATTTTTGGCTATATATATATTGAGAGGAATTTAAAAATAAAAACTCAATATTTATATTTTTCCTTCAATATACTTAACTATTTTTCTGAATCATTAATATCCAGGACTGAGTGTCTTGAATAAGCAGGGTCAAACTCCTATATTAAATGGCTGATTATTATGTGTCACTTGTATTTTCATGTTCTATCTTAGTTAAATCATACAATATGAGAATGCCCTATCTATCAGCACTAGCTTTAGGAACTGGTTATCTAAAAAAGATAGTAGGCAACTATATAGAAAATGCTCGTGAAAAATATATTCAGTATTTCCTCAAATATGTATATATATGGCATAATAAATGAAAATAATAGCCCTATAATTAGAAATGGGAAATTTTGGGGTAATCTTTTGCAATCATTTTTAAAGTGAACAAAAATGTTTTTATTTAGGAAAAGAAGACTAGATCAGCCTTTCTTTTTGACTTAGAACTTTTGTATGCTAAACAAACAAGAATGTTGTAAAATTATCCTTGAGATTTCTACTTTTAGAATGCAAGTAAACTCAGTAACTTAGTGAATTTCACAATTATTTTTCCTTTTTTTAACAATGTGTTCAATTCTACCTATTGTAGTAGTTAATCAGCAATATTTCTATGGAAATAATACAGTGTTGTGAGTGATTAAGAAACAATTTGCCATTTATTTACCAAAAAAATAAAAATGCTTTTAAAATTTCATTTTAAGCTTCATTTATTAGCTGCACTGCACAAAATATTATAATCACATTGTTAACATATTGAGTTCAAATGTGTACATTTTTTATTTATTTCAAAATATGTTTACAGTGGACTCTTAACATTTAGGAAGGATATGCCCAGATACAGATTTTTGATTAGCTTTTTAGCATCTAATGTTTTCCCATAATATTTAATAACATATAACTAAAAATCTTAAGTGACATTTTCTCTTCCTTAATAATTCCTTAGTTATTAGCCAGTCTGCTCATTAACTTTCCTGGAATATCTTGCTTTTAGCTAAAAACTATCACTTTCTTTGTTGCAGTCTCTGCTATTATCAGAACTCAGAGCTGGCTTTCATTTGGAAGTCTTTTTGTTGCTGTTGTTTAAATGAATAAGAAGCTTTAGAACAAAGCAAGATTGAGGTACAGACTCCAGGCCGTAAGCCTTATCCACTCCCTTGCCAACTTCCCATTCACCAACTCCCAGCACATATGATTACTTGGCATAGATATTGAAATGTACTACCACATAGTCAAAACTGAATGGTAAATCCCCAAGTCCTAAAGGGCTAATTTTTAGAATTTTATCCTACTAAATAGTCTTGACTTTCTGTATTATACTGGGAAAATAAGGTTTAAAATTAGATTTGACTCCTGTAATCTGTGTTATATACCAAAATACAGTTTTAACTCTAAAATAATTTATAGATAATACTCTTTAAATGATATAAATGCAGTATAAATTTAAACTAACATTTATAGTATATATAGCTCAGCTGTATGTAGAAGAGAAAAGCAGAACAGATTAGATAGATAGATAAATAAAAAATCATGAGACTATTTCATAAGAATTTCTTATAGGACCAATCTTGGCCAAAGTGTTCTATAGGGCTTATGACTTTATATTATTTAATGTTATATTTAATTTGCCAACATTAGCATTCAAAAATATTTATATGTCAAATAAGTAGTCGGTCTCTACTGCATTAGCCCACACCTATTTGAAAAGATTCTACATCAAATTTTGAATGTTCAAAGTCTCATAAGTTTTTGCATATTTGCCTTAGTTTAAGAAATTAAAAGATAGAAAATTCTGAAGGTGGAGAACTAAGCACACATATTTACTTTTCTTCCCTTCTGAGATCCTATTGAAATGTCAGTAAAGACATATAGAAAAGCAACCCTGAAAGAAATATTATGTTCTGTTGGGATGTTTCTGGAAGAGAGAAAGTAGAGAGGTTCAGACCAATAAAGAAACTGGAAACATGGAAACCACTCTACAACATGCAAAAGAATTAGTTGCTATAGTGTAGTAGGAGCCACTCTCTGGAGTAATGTCAACTTCAGAGACAAAGAGTGAAATAGGCTGCAGGGTAGTCATCAAGTAGGGAAGAAGCTAAAGAAATGTTTAAGAGCAGCTAAACAAGTCAGCTCCTTCTTTGTATTATGCTATAGCGTTTGCTTCCTTGAAGTGTTTTCAGAACACTAAATATAGCATGGGTATTAACCACAGTGTGAGAGCAGAACAGAATTCAAGTTACTTCTGGATCTCTGCCAAGGCCTAAGAGAGAACAAATAGGCAGATCTATCCCAAAGTGAAAAAAAACTAAATTATTCTACTTGAGTTATAATTTACTCTTGATCACTTGTTCAAATCATCAACCATGTGCTTGCTTTTGTTCACAAGTCCTAAAGAGAAGCCTACCCACAGTTATGTACCATCCATTCACACAGTGTCTGAATCAACCTTCATGCTCTGGAGGGATGGACCTTTTGGATAAAACAACTCCTGTAACAGTAGAGAAAAGCTTTGCTAGATCCCAACATGTACCAACTTGGTCTTTTGTTGATAAATAAGAATGGACAACCAAGGATCATTTAGACATTTTAGGCAAATCGATAACATGAAAGAGAAGACTTGAGATTAATCGAATGAATGGCAATGGCAGAAGGGCTAGTTGTGTACTGGAGATTGATGATCTCCATCCCTAGTGTAGAGTTTTCCTGGAATCAGCTGCCTAGCCAGTGAGAGAATTTCCCAGTCACCGCTGCATCCAGGTAGGGTCATGTGACTAGCTCTCACCAGTGAAATATGAGTAGATGTGATAAGAGTCACTTCTTGCCCAAAGTAATCAAGAAGCTAGTTTATTTTTCCACTTATCTCTTCTCCCATGGCTTCTTCACTTCTTTCTTCTACTCCAGCGTCACTTCCTCAGAGAGACCCTCCTGATATTTCTAAATAAAATAGCTCACACCCTGCCCATCCAACTCCATCACTCTCCATTGCCCTGCTTTACTTGTCCTCACAGCACTTCTCACCAGGTGATCTTTGATAAAATGTATCTGTTAATGTGTTTTTTTTAAAATCTATCTTCCCCCCCAGAATAAAAACTCCATGAGGGCAGGGACTTATTTCAGCTATATCCCAGCCTCTACAGCAGTGAGTGCCTGTTACCTATCGAACATTCAGTAAATATGTAGAGGATGAATGAATGAATGAATGAAGCTTCCATAGTGGAAAAAATGCATAGACCTCAAGAAAGGGTAGCATATCCTTCAGTTTTCAGTCAGTTATAAATACGTTGTCAAGGGGTGCTAGAGGAACTCAAGAAAAATTTTGTCTTCTTCACATATAAATAGGCCCAGAGGGGTGAGGCTTTAAAAAGTATGAGGCTGCAGTTTCCAGGGCAGAATATTGACAAGGGTAGAACGAAGGTGTTAAATTCTTGCGGCACCCCCTCTTGTTCACAGTAGTCTGTGTGCTTTGTGATTTCCTTAGCAGTTCTTAGTTACAGTGAGGAGTGGCAGGATGCTTAAGTACTCTCTGAGGGTTGCTGTTTTGTTCAGCTTTCAAACCATAGAGAAGTGCGAAAATTAGGTCATACCTCATGAAATTTAAATAACAAAGCACTCCACCTAGTTTAATAATACCCTAGTTCTCCCATGGCTATATTTCATTGTGCCTATAAGTGGGAATTATTATTTTCAGTTTAGTATCACAACTTGAGGTGGATTTCTCCCTCCCTCCATTTTGGGGGAACTGACATGTTTTATTATTTATTCTTGTTCCTCAGAATGGATTGGGATGATGAATATTCCCATAATTCATTTGACCTACATTGTTTGTTAAACTCATTTCCTGGAGACTTGGAGTTCAAGCAGATCTTCAGTGACATTGATGAAAAGATTGAACAAAATGCGACAAGGTAAATATTGCTAATTATTTAAAGCAAATTGTTTTCATATTTCATTTATATGAAATTTACCTAGTCTGGTTTTAGTGTTTCCTGCTCTTAGATAGTTTTAGGTTTTAATTACCATTAACTTTCCTGAAAAATATTGATTAGATCCCCCCTTAAAATTGAACATGATTGTCTTTATCACATTAGTAGTTTTAATAAGACTAGAAAATGTAAGCATTATCTTCAGTAGGCAAATTAAAGTTTATTGAATTGTTGCTAATGATTTCTTAGAGTTTGCCAATATTGATGTCCTGGATTTTCATTAATATGTTTAAAGTTAAGCATTCTCCTTTGAAGGATAAGCACAGAAATTAAAATTTTGAAATTAAGATATTAAAATGAAAGGTATTATAAGGCCACAATTTCTTGAGTTGCTGAAAACAGAACATTAAAAATTTTTTTTTGCATAATTGTCATTTTAAGACTCCTCCTCACTTAAGTAGGAGACTAGGGACTCCATAGAGAGTAGCTTTATCAGATTAGTCTTCATCACCTACCCCAAAAGGTAGTGTTTACCATATACTGGGGGAAGCAGGGACAGCTAAGCAGTTTCCCACTAATACATGTTCTTTGATAGAAAGGACTCTTCGTATGTATTTGTGGGCCCTATAATCAGTCAGTTCACTTATTTGAATCCTTTTGTTCAAAGGTTCTAATTCACTTCCTGTGAGTTTTTACTGTGCAAACCACAGTAAAAATTTCTATTGTGCAATGATGCATAGCATTTCCTTTTTTAAAATTTGAGGTATAGTTATATTGAATTTTCAAAGAAACTGAGCCAAGCAACTAAAATGTTCCTGTGATATTTTTCCTCCTGTTTTACATGAGAATAGTTAATTCTTTATTATAACAATGGGCATAAATAACTTCAAAAGGCAGCATATTGTTGGGGAATTATACTTAAAGACAAAATCTTCTCTCATCCCAGAAATCCTATCCATGAAGGTAATAAAGAAAGAAAACATTTTGATTCTTGAATAAGCATTAAACCAGAATATGATATGCATCACGGGCAATTCCCTAAAAGATTACAGAGACAGAAAGGAATCTCACCCTCATATAACCGAGCAGATACAACTTACATTACATGTTGTCACGATAAACAATCACTGGTCCTCAAGTAAGAAGACTCGACTGCGCATTTTGTCACACAGTTCATCCTAACTTCACCATGGTAATTAGGGAGACCACCTGTGTTAGCTAATTGGCTTTATCCTGAGGAGAAATAAACTTCTTATATCTTTTTGACAGAAGGTAGTTTTGCAAATTGGAGCAAGGTGCCCACTGAAGTTAGAGCGTATTCCCACAGGAACTGGGAGATAGGGGAATGATCTCCCTTGATGTCTGCATTTCAAACAGATAGCTCCCAGGTTTCTGGAAGGACATTCTTGGGTCACAAAGCTGACTGAAGGCCTGCTGACAAAAGGCATATCTAGTCTTCCGAGGGGTACATGTCAAGAAGATGAAAAAGTACTTATGATTACAAGTTTTCTAAGGTAAATGCTCTAGGAAAAAGGAGAGGAGAGAAAGCATTTCCTTCATTTTCAATAGGAAGAATTAAACCTCTTATTTTTAATTTATATTTGCCCATATATTGTATATATTTTTAAAAGATAGCATATATATGACTTAACCATACTGAGAATATATATTTGATATTTCATATAAATATGAAATAACTGTATTAAACCTTAGTATAATTATATATTTATGTAACTTTTATATGTTTATATATTGTGTTACACAGTTTCTAATCCAAAGGAACTTACAAATGAAAATAGTACTCACTTAAATAGGTTAACAAGTCATTTACCTGAATTCCAGAGATGGTTATATTTGTAAAAATTGGAATATTTTTAAAAAGGTAAACTTTTTCCTTCACAATGGCATTTAGGCTCCATCAAAACAAAACAAGTCACTGAACGCTGATGTTTTTGTTATAGACTGCTTCAATTTTATTTGCTAAACTATCTATACTTAATTTCCTGCCCTACCTGGTCAATACAGAATCATATTTAAAATAAAACAGTGATTAAAATGTTGTATTTTGTATTCATAAATTATTATTAGGTCGAAACTCAGATGTTAGTATTAAAAAGAAAATATAGTATGGGACATAAGGATATAATTTTTAAATTAAAAATATTTTATTGCCCATATATTAAAGGAACCTAGAGCAGAACCACCTCAAGTGACCATTGATCTTCACAAGGGATAAAATAAGGAAGTAACTGTATGTGCTGTATGCTACATTTAGAATCAAGTCTATTTTTCATCAAATTCAATTATGTTTTTATTATACTCTAGAGAATAAACATAATAGTATAGGGTATATATATTTTTAAAAATAAAATACTGAATAATAACTGTGGTTCAGAAGAGTGTAAATCATTTATGCACTCATTTATTGCCTCCTAACAGAATAGCTTTTAGAAAATTGTATGTCATGACGAATCAGTTATGCCACACTTACACTGCAGTAGTTGAATTACCCTTGGCATTTTTGTATTCTAACAGTTCTCTTTATCTCCCAATGGTGTACACTGAATAAGTAATGAACATCTGTATGGTATGGGTTTTCCTCAATACTTTTAAAAGAAAAAAAACATTAGTAATTCATTTTTAAATATGGTATTTTCCCTTACATTTGAATTTTTAAAGTTGTATTTCTAGCAGTGACCCTGACATCTAGTGCGAATTCCTTCCCTCTTCTTAATATCATCAGGTTTTATGAGCCACAGGGTCTGTCGCCTCCCCAAAGCAGTGATTCACCAGAATGGACCAGGGTGCCCAGAGGTCACTGAACCTTCACTTGCCCTTCAGGAGAGGCTGTCATTCTCTCAGACCATTTTCACTTTTACATCCTCATTTTCAGTCAAGTCAGAGCTGGGTGACTCCCAAGTCTGACAGTAGAAATCAGTGATGGTGAGTCCTTTATTTTGAACACATATCAAAATTGGTAATAAGAGGATAAATAATCTGCCAAAGTGGAATGCTATGAATGTTATATCCACAAATTTAGTTAGTTCACTAACTGCAAATGGCACATAGCATTGAAATAATTTTTGAGTTGACTAGAACTTATTAGTATAACAAGATATTGAGATATAGAAGTTCTCTTGGGCTCACAATAAGACATAGAATGATTTTTTTTCCTCTTAATGTTCAGTTGGATAGATACATCTTAAGAGTTTATTTTACTTTTCTATTTTCTAATTATAGACAACCTCTGTGTGTATTGCAGGAAGTAAGTTTTGCTACTGATACAAGATGACTACTGTTTTTTAATTTAAAGAAAAATCAGGAAGTGCTACTAGGGATAATACCATTTGTATTAATCCAGGAGATGTAGGGGGAGGAGGGACATTAACTTTGCACTGTGAGAAAATATTGGAAAAATGGTTTCTATAAATTTAACCATGCTTATTAATGAGAGGATACATATTCTATAGATTACACTTATTTTTCACATAATGCTTAACTTTTTTGAGTTTATACATGAAACTTTTCTTTAGAAAATACCTTTAGAGTTTTGCACACGATGGCTTACATGTCTAGAAGAAGTAACCAAAAGAAATCTGTAAATAATCCATCAACCTTGGACTTCTCGTGGTAGAGCCACAAATCTATTGTAGATATATTCACATACACATCTTAATATATTAATATTTTATAGCCATGGCAAATTATATAAAATGCAAATTAGTCATTTCGAAGGCTTTATTATGTATTATTTCTGGCAGTATTTGGCACTTATTTAATAATGAGAGAATATAAATTAATATAGGTTCCTTTTTGTAACTCCCTATGTTTGTACTTCAGTTTTGTGTTTGTTTACCCTTATACTCCATCTCACAAAAATTCCTACCTCTTCTCCCATCCTGCTGAGCAAGACAAGGCCACATAGAAATAAACCTGAAAGGGGCTACTTTCTCCATCTGTTCTTGAACCCAGTGTAAGACCTAAACAGCCACTTTCCAATTTCCTCTGACTGGGCCCCTTCCAGCCCTCTTATCCTCCCTAGAATTAAAAATGCAACCCAGGCAGACAGCATGCTGGACATCAGTGGCTTAGCAGCCTAAACTTTCCCTGGCCCCATCATATTTCCTACTTTTTAAACTTCTCCAGTCTTCCCACTGAAGTTCTCAACATGAAGTCCAGTGATGCTTGCAGATAGAGGTGGTGAGTGGGAAGAAGAAAAGTGCCTCTCTCTATCATGGTGGCCTATTGAAACGCTTTCTCTTCATCATTTTCTGTCACTATTAACTACATTATTTTGAATGTCTATGGTGGTCCTTGCTTCTTTCTCCATCATCCTGCATTGCTCATTGCTTACCTTAGACCTCTGCTTTAGGAGGCTGGGATGAGTGAGGTGAAATGCAGAGTCAGTAGCTCCATCAGATGATGGTTAAGAGATTCTTTCAAGTAATATGTACACTTCAAGTGTTTGACATTTTTTTAAAAGCGCTGTATAGCTTTTATTTTTAAGCATGTTAGCTTTACCTACTCCAGGTCAAATAAGCATAAGGCTATAAAGAATAATTATTTGAGGGTATTCCTAAAGTATATTATTATAATTATCTTTCCATGGGAAATAAGAAAAGGGAAGCAAGTGACTACCTATCTCTGAACTATTATGATAACAAAAGTATGAATAGTATTGCACTGAAAATCTAGACCTGATAAGGAGATTGAGCCAATAATAGTTGGGCCACTATTTCCCAGAAAAGATCTTAGTTAATGTGCCAGTTGGAAGTAAGCCCCTACTCCTGATGTAACAACCTGGGCTGCCCCATGAAGGCCTGGCCCAGCTCTGAGGGCAAGAACATTATAAGAGGATCAGAGCCCTGATAACAGATGTGACTGCTATGGCTGGCTCATCTTTCTTGTTGGATGATGCCTTGAGATTAATATAACCCCATCAACTTTCCCTGGAAAGGAGCCTAGACTAATTGTCTATCACT